ACAAAGCAGGAAAGAGAACAGTATTCCTCCCTTATCTGTGGCTTTTCTTTATGCATTTTCAGCTACCTACAGTCAAGTCTGGTAAGAAAACAGTAAATGGATTCCAGAAATAAACAAGTCATACACTTTAAATTGAGCATCCTCCTTCTCCTTCTCCTTCTCCTTCTCCTTCTTCTTTTGTATGAGGGATTGAACCCAGGGGTGCTTAACTACTGAGCCACATCTCCAGCCCCAGCCCCCAACTTTAATTTTTTTTAAAATTTAGACAGGGTCTTGCTGAATTGCTTAGGGCCTCTCTAAGTTGCTGAGCCTGGCTTTGAACTTGGGATCCTCTTGCCTCGGCCTCCCAAACCATTGGGATTATAGGTATGCACCACCACGCTCAGCTCTAAATTGAGCATCATTCTGAGTAGCATAATAAAATTTCATGCCATCTGCTCTGTCACATGTGGGATAAACATCCTTTTGTCCAGTGGATCCGTGCTAAATATTCCACCTGCCCATTAGTCACTTAGTAGCCCTCTCAGTAATCAGATCACTTATTGCAGTATTGTAACACTGTGTTCAAGAAATCCTTATTTTACTTAATAATGGCCCCAACGTGCCAGAGTAGTGCTGCAGGCAATTTTACTATAGTATGTCATTATAATTGTTCTTTTCCATCATTAGTTTTTGTTAATTATCTCTTACCATGTCTAATTTATAAATTAAATTGTATCACCGGTATATATGTATAAGAAAAAACAGAGCCAGGTGTGGTAGTGTATACCCATAAGCCTAGTGACTCAGGAGGCACAGGCAGGAGGATCACACGTTCAAGGCCAGCCTTGGTAACTTAGTGAGATACTATCTCAAAAAAACAAAACAAGAGGCTGGGGATGTGGCTCAAGCGGTAGCGCGCTCGCCTGGCATGCGTGCGGCCCGGGTTCGATCCTCAGCACCACATACCAACAAAGATGTTGTGTCTGCCAAGAACTTAAATAAATAAATATTTAAAAAACAAAACAAAACAAAACAAAAAAACACCTACAAAGGGTTGGGGATGTAGCTTGGTGGTACAGCAGTCAGAGTTCCATCTCTGGTTCCACAAAAACAAAACAGAACAAAACACAGTTTATATAGGGTGGGTACTGTCTGTGATTTCAGGCATCTGTCTACTGGGGGTCCTGGACTGTACCTGCTGTGGATGAGGGTGAGTTTACTGGGTCTGTACTGTTAGACCGGCAACTTTTGTCCATCTCTGAATCCAGGGGTGTTTTACCACTGAGCTCCTATCCCCAGCACTTTTTAAAAATTTGAGACAGGGTCTCGCTAAGCTGGCTTACAGCCTTGTTAAGTCGCTGAGGCTGGCCCTGAACTTGTGCTCTTCCTGCCTCAGCCTCCCCAGTTGCTGGGATTACAGGTGTGCACCACGCCCAGCTTCCTGCACCCACTCTTAGGACCACCCTCTTCTTTCTCCTTTACCATTGATCACAATTCCTTGTTGGAGAAAGTGATTGACATCTTTCAATATCTTGTGGATCTGGAAAACTCCAATCCCCTGCTCTTGTGGCCACCAGTAAACTTCAGTCCCTAAAGCGTTCCAATTCTCATCATGTTTCTTCAGCTCTCAGTAGCACTGAACAGCACCTGCCTTCATTCTTGGAGCCCTTTTTCAGACACCCCTGCATCTTCTTCCGACATTGGCTCTTTCTTCTTTTCCAGGGAGCACCCTTGGGTCTCTTCTTACTTACCCCATGCCTTCCTCTATCCCCTATGTAATCCATGACCTTTTTTCTTATCTCATGAGCTCTGAATCTCGCATTTCCACCTTCCCATGATATAACCTGATCACCATCCATCTCAGATCCACTTGACCAAGTTCAACTTGTTATCTGCTTTCTCTGATGCCCTGTTCCTTCCATATCATTGAGAAACACTATTCTATGGGGCACAGAACCAAACCAATCTACCAACTGATTACAATTCCTATCAAAATACCAATGGCATTCTTCACAGAAATAAAAAAGGAAAAAACCTCCTAAAATTTATGTAGAACCACAAAAGACTCCCAATAGAGAAAGTGATCCTGTATCAAAAGGAACAAATAGTAGGCATTACAATATCTGAATTCAGAGCATATTCCAAAGCAATAATAAACAAAGCAGCAGGGTACAGATATAAAAATGAACACATAGACCAATGGAACAGAATAGAGAACCCAGAGATAAATCTACACCTCTGTAGTCAACTGATTATCAATGAAGACATCAAACACATAGATTATAGAAATAATAGGGCTGGGATTGTGCCTCAGTGGTAGAGTGCTTGCCTAGAATGCATCAAGCACTGGGTTCGATCCCCAACATCACATAAAAATACTAAATAGACAAAATAAAGGTATTGTGACCATCTACAACTAAAAATATTTTTAAAAATAGAATATTTCCTTCCTTCCTTTTTTTTTGGGGGGGGTGGGTACTAGGAATTGAACCCAGGGGTGCTTACTACTGAGCTACATCTCCAGCCCCTTTAAACTTTTTTTGAGATAGGATCTTGCTGAGGCTGGCCTTGAACTTGTGATCCTCTTGCATTTGCCTCCCAAGTACTTAGGATTACAGGCATGTGCCATTGTGTATGGCAAGGACAATTTTTTCCCATAAATGGGTCTGGAAAATTGGATATCCATAAACAGAGAAAAGAAAATAGATTCCCATCTCTCACCATACACAAAAAATCAACTCAAAATGAATTAAAAGCTTAAATGTATGACCCCAAACTATGAAACTAATAGGAGAAAATGCAGGGAAAACACTACAAGGTATTGGTCTGATTTTTTTGGCTGTGGCCTCAAAAGCATAGGCAAATGGATTACATCAAATTTAAAAGTGTCATTACAAGCTGGTTGTGGTGGCACATGCCTGTAATCCCAGTGGCTCAGGAGGCTGAGGTAGGAGCATTGAGAGTTCAAAGCCAGCCTCAGCAAAATCGAGGCACTAAGCAGCTCAGTGAGACCCTGTCTCTAAATAAATACAAAATAGGGCTGGGGTTGTGGCTCAGAAGTGGAATGTCCCTGAGTTCAATCCCTGGTACCCAAAACAAACAAAACAAAACAAAAGTGTCATTACAGCAAAGGAAATTGTCAACAGAGTAAAGAGACAACTTGTGGAATGGGAGATGATATTTGTTAACTATTTATATGACAAGGGATTAAGTTCCAGAACATATAAGGAACTCAACAACCCAACACCAAAAAGCTGAATAATCCAATTAAACTTGGGTGAACAGCCTGACTAGTCATTTCTCAAGAGGATATATGAATGGTCAATACTCATATGAAAAATTTCTCAACATTGCTAATCATCAGGGAAATGTAAACCCAAACCACAACGAGAGATCACCTTGCCCCAGTTAGAATGGCTATTAGCAAAAAGACAAAAAAACCAAACCAAACCAAAACAAAATGCCAGGCATGGTGGCATGCCCTTGAATCCCAGTGAGTAGGGAGGCTGAGGCAGGAGTGCAAATTCAAGGTCAGCCTGGGCAATTTAGTAGGACCCTCAGTAACTTAGGTGAGACCCTGTCTCAAAAAAAAAAAAAAAAAAGGACTATGGGGCCGGCGTTGTAGCTCAGCACTTGCCTAGCACATGTGAGGCACTGGGTTTGATTCTCAACACTTCATATAAATAAGTAAAATAAAGGTCCATTGACAACTAAAAAATATTTTAAAAAATGGACTGGGGATGTAGCTCAGTGGTAAAACACCATGGATTCATTCCTCAGTACAAAAGAAAGAAAATCAAAAGACAAAAAATTTACAGATGCTGGTGAGGATACAGAGAAAGGGGAATTCTCATACACTGTTGGTGGAAATGTAAATTAGTATAACTGCTATGGAAAAGAGTATGGAGCCCTCTGAAAACTAGAAATAGAAATCCCATATGATCTAGCCATCTCACTACTGGGTATATATTCAAGAAAATTGAAATCATAATGTGGAAGAGACCTGTGCACAGATGTGTTTATTGCAGCACTATTCACAACTGTCAAGAGGTGGAATCAACCTAAGTGCCGTCAACGAATGAATGGATAAAGAAAATGTGGTCTATAAACATAGTGGAATATTATTCATCTGTAAAAAGCAACAAAATTCCATCATTTGCAGCAAAATAGAAGGAACTGGATGACATTTTGTCAAGTGAAATAAATCAGGCACAGAAAAACAAATACCATGTGTTCTCATTGATATGTGGAAACCAAAAAATTGATCTCCAAAAAGTAGAGAGTAAAGTAGTGGTTATCAGAGCCTGGGAAATGTGTGGGGGAGGAGGAATGAAGAGAAGATGGTTAATGGTACAAGAGTGCACTTGGAAGGGGGAATAACTTGTAATGTTCCATAGCACAGTAGGATAACTATGGTTGGCAATTGAATATTTCAAATTAGCCAGTAGAGAGGATTTTGAATGTTCTAAACACAAAGAAATGATATATGTTCATGATGATGGAGATGCCAGTTACCCTCATCTTATCCTTATACATTGTATATAGGTATTGATATGTCTTGGTGTGTCTGTGTACTCTAATATACATGCTTACACACACACACACACACACACATATATATACATGTATGTTGATATTGATATAGATTGATTGTTCTGGGGATTGAACCCAGAGGCACTTTACCATTGAGACATATTCCTAGCCCTTTTTATTTTTATTTTGAGACAGGGTCTCACTAAATTGCTGAGGCTGGCCTGAAACTTGCAATCCTCCTGCCTTAGCCTCCTGAGTCAATGAGGTTACAGGCATGTGCCACTGTGCTGGGCTCTCCAATATATATATATATATATTTTGTTGTTGTTGTTGTTGTTGTTGTTTTGTTTTGTTTATTTGTTTGTTTTGGTACTGAAGATTGAACTCAGGGGCACTCCACCTCTGAGCCACATCCCCAGTCTTATTTTCTATTTTATTTATAGACAGGGTCTCACTGAGTTGCTTAGTGCCTTGCTTTTGCTGAGGTTGGCTTTGAACTCAAGATTCTTCTGTCTCAGCCTCCGGAGCTGCTGATCAGGTGACATCTGAGTAGAGATCAAAAGGAAACACAGGTCAGCCAGGCAGATATTGGGCCTTTCTTCCGCATCCCATGGCCACAGCCCATCACTGTTTCTCCCCTGAACCCTGGCACTTCCTTCCCATTGGCTTTTTGCCCCCACTCTCATCATTCCTTCTCCATTCCCTTTCAGTGTTTCCTGTTTTCAATAGGATACTGTTCAAACTCCCAACTATACATAATACAAGGGCAGTCACAACTCTCTCCAACCCTTTTCTCAGCTAAACCTGGGACAGAATTTGCTGGGGTGGACAGAATTCCAAGATGGCACCATGATGCTGGTGTTACCTCCGAATGACTCCCTCCTCTTGAGAGAGGGTAAATTCGGTGGCTTGCTTCCAGCAAGAAGCAAGAATATGGCATTCCCACCTTCTCTATATAAAATTCTGTCTTATCCGACTTTATCAAGATTCTGCCACCCTTGAAAAAAACAGCCATGTTGTAAATTGCCTATGGAGAGGGCATGGAGGGGAGCCACAGACGGTCCTAGGAGCTGAAGGCAGCCTCTAGCCAATAGCTGGGGTGAGGAAATGAATCCTGGGAAAAATCTGAACGAACTCGGAAGAAGAAGATTCTTCCTTGCCAAGCCTCAGACAAAATCATAACCCCAGCTGACACCTTGGGCAACCTGGAGAGTCCCTGAGCAGGGAACCCAGACAGTCACGCCCAGGCCCTGACCCACCAAAGCTGAAATAATGCGTGTGTGTTATTTTCAGCCTCTGCATTTGTGTTGGGTTGTTACACACCGAGAAGAAACGCATACACTCACCCTTCATATCCTCAGTCGTCAGACTGCCCCTGCTTCTGAATGAGTTTTCTTCTTCATGCCCTGCTGTGAACACAAATTCTATGTACACAAGGTCTCCAATCTTACCTTTTCTCTGTTTTTCCTTTAAAACCCCATCAAAATGTCCCCTTTTCCCTATATGCCATATAACCACTCTCCCAACCCCTAATCCATGGTCCTCACCTCTCCTCCACTCATGCATCACAGTCTCTCTCATATGCATATTTATATTTGGGGTGCTGAGGATGGAACTCAGGGCCTCGTGCATGCTACACAAGTGCTCTACCACTGAGATGCACCCCCAATCCTAGTCCCTTCCTTATTCATCTTTCCATCTCAGGATCTAGTTCAGTGCCTGATTTCCAGAGTGTGGTGTGTTGTCTTTGGTGGGGTTGCTGGTATCCACAAATTCCTTAAAATTGCCGGGTGAATGTGGCTCAGGAATATTTTTTTTTTTTCTGGAAGCATAGTTTCCAACAAACTCTCAAAGAGGCTTGGGGTCCTGGAGAGACTGATCGAAACAGGGTGTGGATGCCAGTTTGTTGAATGTAAGCCACTGGGTTATGGCCCACTACGGGGATGTTCGTTTTTAGCCTGCTGCTAATTGTGGCTTTGCTGGAGGAATTGGAAGCTCCCGCTGCGTTTTGCAGCAGAACTGCCATTTGACATCTGTAAATGCACATTTACACAGAGGCCCCAGGCTCCCACTAGGGGTGAATGGGGTCCAGCCTGGGGAAAGAGAGAGGAAGCAGGGTGGGCCAGGGTGCAGGGAAGCCCAGCCCACTGCAAGAAGAACACACAAAATGCAGTGTCTTTGGGGACAAAGTGTGCAGGAGGCACCTAGAAGCCTGGATAATTCTGCCTGCTCCTTTTAATAGTGCCAGGTGCTAGGATAACTATTCTACTCTGCCAGCTCCCCTGGGCTCTAGAGGATGGCGTTTGGCAGTGCCAGTGTATTTTTAGCCCTCCGGCAAGTGGAACAAAGTGCTCAGAGAGGTGCTGTTTCGCTCTCAGCTCTGGGCAACAGTGGCTGCTTTCTCAGAAGGGGAAGTTCCCTCTCTAGACACAGTGGAGCTAGGGTCCAACCCCCCACTTCCCTCTAAGGCTCTCTGACACAGGAACCTGGGAAAGAGATGTCTTCAGCATGGATGGGGGACAGAGATGTGTGCCTGGCGTGGTTGAGGGGAGACAACCAAGGAGGTAGTCTTTCACTGGGAGGGAAATTCACAAACCAGAAATCCCCTACATGGAGGCTGACTGCTGCTTCTTTTTCTTTTTTTTGGTACTGGGGATTGAACTCAGGGGAACTTAATCACCGAGTCACATCCCCAGCCCTTTTTTAGATTGTATTTAGAGAGAGGGTCTCACTAAGTTGTTTAGGGCCTCGATAAGTTGCTGAGGCTGGCTTTGAACTCACGATCCTCCTGCTTTGGCCTCCTGAACTGCTGGGATTACAGGTGTGCACTACTGTGCCTGGCCTGGCTGCTTCTTGATGCTTTCTCTGGGGAAAAATCTTGTGTCCTACCCAGGGTTAGAGGGCAAGCCAGGCAGCTCTGGGCCAGGGGCTAGTAGGATGATTGGGCCCCTGACCCCAGCCAGGAAAGTCCTGTCCCTGATGGCTGCAGGGAGGGGAGATGCGGGTGAGAGTGGCAGGAAGCCACTTCCTGATGACCCAGGGATGAACACTCAAGGTCAACCTTGAACATTGATCTGCTAAATATTTGCTTGGAACTCTGACCCAGTGAACTTCCTGTCCTCACCCCTTCCCCAGCTGCAGCAGCACTGCCCCCTGATTCTGGACGGATGGGCATCACTTCCCAAAGAGGCCCTTTCCAGGCAGGTGTGACTGCCTCGTCCCAGCTGTGGGTGTGAGCTGTGGGAGAGGGGGGGGGCCGGCTGGGAGCTGGGACAGTCACCTCCACGGACTCTGTGTTTGACGTGGCTGTATCAGCAAAGTTGGTCTGAAGTGGTCAAGGTCCAGTGGTCACAGCTGCCCACGCAGAATCAAATTCCACAAGGATTAGGCTCCCTGGGCCCCCTTTCCACCAAAGCTGTCCTGTCCACTGAAGCCTGGGAAAGAGAGGCCTTGCTTCTCAGAGCAGACAAATGGAGGCTGAGAGGAGCTTTGGCCAGGGCTTGGAAAGAATCTCTTTCACCTCCCATGTGAAGCAGGTGCTCACCGTGTGTGTGTGACTGTCCACACACACACACACACACACACACACACACACACACACACTACCCCATCACCCATTTCCCCTCATTGCCTGTCTAGGGTCAAATTCTGCATAGGATAGTTCCCTAAAGCCTGACAGTTACTTTGCTCCATTTTCCTATGTGGGAAACCGTGATTCCCAGAGATTATGCAATTTGTTCAAGCTCACACAGAGAGTCGGGGAGCTAGGTGTCAACTCTGGGGCTGCTGTACCCCAGAAAGAGACAAGATCATGCACCTGTTCTCTGAGATTCTACAGCAAGGGATGATATGAAGGCTGGGTACAGGGTAGAGGGCAGAGCCACCACACCTGTGATAGCCCCGGTATTTTCCAGGATTTCTGGACGGGAGAGGATGAAGCTGGACTTACTGTCATGGCCACACCACCTTGTGTGTGCCTGATCTCAAAGCCAAGCAGGATTGGGCCTGATTAGCACATGGATGCAGGGCCCTGGATAAAAATCAATCAAACACCCCACCCCTCCCTCCAAAAACAAAAAAACAAAACAAAACAAAAAAAAAACAAGCTGACTCTTTTAAGTCACTGTTATTGGGGGTTTTCTGTCATTTAAAGTCAAACTGATACTAAACAAAACACCTGCAGTCACAGCCGCTCCTGCCAGGCTGGCTGCTGCTCTCAGAAGGTGCCTCTGACTCTGTGCTGTTCCCTGTACCTCTCTCTGGTCATGGCAATCCTTATTTTTCCTTCAAAGCCCAGCTACAAAGACCCCCCTTCTCCTTGATGCGGTCCCTAATTTCTACCTCCTGGGAACTATGAATTCTTTTGCCTTCAAAATTTTCAGGCTCTCAGTTTACTTCATATATTGAAGTTATCTTGTCTGATTGCTGCTTTGCAATCGTTCTTGTCTGCCTGTTTATCTTACTAGATTGGAGAAGGTAGTGTTTGTCTGGCCTACAGGCAGTGGGGTGCTGGTAACCAGCTCTCTGGGAGAAGAAGCACCTGTTTTGCAGTGCTTGCCCAGCCCCAGGGTGTAAATATTCCCACCGTGATCACTTTCAAGCTATGATGGTTTAGCAACCAACTCATGAAATTGCTGAATATCTATCAGCTGGCTCTCATGAGGCAGTGCTAGGAGGCTCTGGCTTGCTACTGCTTATGGGTCTACCCACTGTGGCTCCTTAAGGTTTGAGCATAGTAGGTATGCAGCAAGCTACTGCCACAAAACCTTACTTGGATGGACTATTCTTTTTTTTTTTCTTTTCTTTTTCTGAAGCTCTTACTTTGTTCCTAGAAGAGTTAGAATGGATCTCAGGGAAGATCACTTGCAAACCTGGTGACCATCCTTCTCTCCTCTCTAATATTAATGCTTCTTAGCAATATGACTTTGAAGTCTCTCCCATCAAGAGCTGGGGATTATTTCCAGTCCTTCAGTCAGGACTGACCTTATGATGTGTTTTAGCCATTGGAATATAATGGCAGTGACTTCTGCTTGTTTTGGGATCCTACCAACTACAAGGTGTAAAGGCCAGGCTGTCCTGCTAAGAACGAGAGACCACATGGAGCAGAGGCACACCACCTAAGATGAGCCACCCTAGATCAGCCAGACCCAGCAAATTCAGCAGCGGGCCAAAGATCTGGGAGTGATCTTGCCAGGACCAAAAGCCTCACCCAGCTGAGCCCAACTCAAATTGCTAATGCGAGGAATCATGAGCTAAATAAAGAGTTAAATAAATCTAGCCTCTAAATTTTGGAGTGGTTTGTTTTTGTTAGGCCACCGCAGAAGCTAACTGATATATCATGATTGCACCCTAAAAGAGCTTTGTATTTGTCTGGATTATCCATTGTCCATTTCTGGATGAGATTGCCCCTTGTTCCCTGTTGCCCCTCAACTATGACCAGGATGCCAGAGGTCCACGTTATCACCCCTGTCCTGTCCAAATATATGAGTTATGGTAGAGTCTTACCAGCCCTACACATAGCCTCTAGGAACCCAGAAGAGCGACTTTATTGACACACTGATGGGAGAGTTGATCAAGAGACAAGGAGTCTGGCTGCACACCTGAGTGAGTTGAGCTCTCCTGGCCTCTGACTTTGTGCCACGACATCACGGGGCTGAGAGCTTCCTTCTTCCTATGGATCAATGAAGATTTAGTTACCTTTTCTGGAAAACGTCCATCCAGGATCAGAAACCTCACATGCCTGTTTTTTCTTTGTTCTTCTTTCACGCCCTTTAAAATAATTATTTCATTTTTTTAGAAGATCCTAATTTATTGGGGTGAGACAACCATGTCTTCTACCAAAACGAAATAAATTTCTACTTTCAGTTCCAGAGTAAAATCTTGCCTGTCACCTGTTAAGGAGCTTGAGAAAAACCAAACCCAACCTCTTCTGCCGATGAGGCTTGAACTCTTGAAACTCTGTAGTGGCAAAGAGGCATTCTAGAGAAGCAGAGAGGAAGCAGACACAGATTTGCTGCTGCACCTGGGGTGTTGTGTGGTTTCCTTTTATCCAGCTGTGTGACCTTGGGCAGGTCACCCAAGTCCCCCACCCTCTGGGACTACATATGATATGGGGCTGGACTAGAGAGCTCCACAATCCCTTCATGATATGGTATTTTTACTAGTTTAAAGGGGGAAAGCCAAAGACAGCCAGACAGGCTTCTAACATTAATCTGTGAACTCTTTTATCACTGGAGGTGTGTATGTGTACTGACTTGGATCTATCACAATGCACCCATTGTGTGACATGAAGTGGTGACATCACACTCTAATGACTCCCAAAGGCATTTGATCTTAGGACACCATTGGAACATACATATCCAACATTAGTCATTCCATCACTTTGGTATATATTATTGACAAGCTGTGTGATCCTGGGCAGATTCTCCTCCTCTCTGATCTTACATTTCTTCCTCTAAAACATAAAGTCAAGTGAAAATTTTACAATGTTGAATTCTTATAAATATTGATTGAAAACGCAGATAATGATGCTATATAATGCATTACATGGAACACATACAGAAGTCTGTTTTTTTTTTTTAAATCTACTTATAACAAATTATGTTGGTCCAAAGGTCTCATTTGGCTCCAAGCAGCCGCACTACACCTCAGACCTTTTAGGATGTTTTCATTTTTCAGTTTCAGGATTTTGTATTCATATAACATTCAGTTATATGTGGACACCTGGGGCTCACTTCTTTTTTCCTATAGTAATTTTTTCCTGAGTCTTATTGGAATGCCTTTGGTGCTTATCTCAGAGGGTTTTTAAAAGTATAAAATGAAAATCCACCTATATCTCGAAGTTTGGTGCCTAAACCAGTAGATGTTTATCCAGCAGTAGCTGCTGCTATTGTAATTTCCCCACAATGTTCGATGTTCACCCAGGCTCATGAGAAGTTTATTTCTCAGCTTCAGCGGCAGGGACACTTGAGAACCGCTGCTCTGGGAAGGTCAAGTGTTGGGAATCTAGCCATCCATGCTGTCCAGATCACAAGTCATTTTCTCACCTATAGTCGCTCTCCTGCCCTCCTCTCCTTCTGGGAACAGCGTGGCAGAGACTTCTCCCCTTGCTTCTCACCCCTCTATTGCTCTATGGATCAAATACTTAAAGACGTCAGCTGAGGCAATCTCTGGCCTTTCGGCAGTCGCGGAACACCTTCTCATTCCCACTGCCCAGCCTGAGGCCAGTCGCCTGTCATTTCCTGTTCCCCTGGATCTCTCCCTCTCACTCTGCTGGGTTACAGGGGCTGAGCTCTGCAGACTACATTTCCCAGGCTCCCTTGCACCCCGGCTTCCTGGTTGGTTCAGCCAATGGTAGGCACTGGCAGGAGACGGGCGCTGGGAGGGAGGGAAAAGCCAGGGTACTTCTCCAGCCAGGTCAGCTTCAGGTGATGTCTACGCAGTCCAGTCGCCCTGACTCCTCTCTGGTTCTAGCTTCTTAATGCACCTTCCTTTCTTTTGTCCCTCCAGTCTTAGGGAAGTAGCAGTTTCTTGGTTCGCTAAGTCTTCCTGTTTAGGTTTTCAGCTCTTCCATCGTCTTTGTCACTAGTTTACTGTATTAATTAATTGCTGAACTCCTTGACCTGGGTTTGTTTTTCTGATGGGGTCCTGACTGCTGCATCTACCACGGTCAGACATCTAAATTTACAGTCGACTGTATCCACGGGTTGCACATCTGTGGACTGAAAATGAAACTTACATCTGTACTGGACATGCACAGATTTTTTTCTTGTCATTGTTCCATAAACCATGACAACTTTTTATGTAGCATTTGCATTGTATTAAGTGTTGTAAGTCATCTAGAAATGGTTTAAAGTAGATGGGAGGGTATGTGTAGTTTATATGCAAATACTGTACCATTTTATATAAGGATTTTGGAATGTGTGGGGTGTCCTGGAACTAATCCCCTTCATATTCTGAGGGATGTATGTATGGGAGTGTTCTTGCCATGTAACTTCCACATGGCCATGACTTTGCAGAAGAATTTTCATGGAACTTTTTCCAGGGTAGCTTCCAAGTTGAATCTGTCCTAGAGGGCAAATGCTTCCTGTGGTTAATTGCTAGCAAAAATGGACATATTTATTCCCTTTTGCATATCCTACTCCTTTATATTATGACTGCTGCTTCTCCCATCAAGAAATGGAGTCTATTTCCTCACCTCTTGAATCCACACCAGTCTGTGACTTGATTAGTAGAATGTGGTAGAATCAAGCCTGTGCCTCAAGAGGCCCAGCATGTTTCCTTGTGCTCCCTTGGAAACCTGCCCAGCTGGGACATGGGCAAGTCTGGACTAGACTGATGGGATGAGAATACAAATCGAAAAGGAGCCATCCCAGCCCAGACGACCCTGGACCAGCTAGTCCTAGCCAAGCTGGTAGCTGCCTCTAGATGCATGGGGAGAGTCCAGCTGAGGAGAGCTGAGCCCAGCCCAGATCAACAAAACCATTCAGATCACTCACAGATGTGGGGGGTAATAGTAAACTGTTGTTATTTTAAACCACTAAGTTTTAGGATAGTTTATTATACAGTAGTAGCTGGCCTAACCCAAATGTAGATGATAGCAGAAGTGAGAGAATTCCACATTTGTTTCTGATGAATTTCTGATTCATAACATAGTCTATGTCCAGCAGTCCCCAGTGCCAGTGGGGACTTCCCCAGTGCCAGTGGGGACCTCCCCACTGGGACGTGGTTCAGTCCAGCTGGGTCTAACCTCAGTGGCCAACTGAGGACAGGGTGTGTAGGTAGCTGAGTAATTATACCTGGTTGGTCAAGTTCAAAGTTTGATTGCTGGACATAGGGCTCTGATCTTATAGTGATTCTGGGTTTTCAGAGACTTTTTTGGGATAGGGCTACCCTCTTCACTCTGCTGCACTTAGTGAAAAAATGAGGCAGAGAAAGGTTGCTAGTTGCCTGCTCTCAATCCTTTTTCCCTATCTTACCAATTACTAAGCCCCTCTGTTTACTAGATGTAGTGTAGGTTTACTTTACCTGGCTTCCCCTGATACAATGGCCAATTTAAAGAGAGATCACTGGATGGCTCAGATGGGAGGCATCTCCTTTGCCCTTTCCTTCCCTCCCACACTGAGCATGAACATATGGCAAACCTGCTCCATCTCTTACAGACAGCAGCCCCTTGGCCACCCTAGCAATGCTACCTATAGGGACCTGCTCGGTACCTTCTAGAAGAGGTTATGGGATCATCTAACTGGGCATGTTGTCTTGGCTTCATCAATTCCTTATAGCCTGCCCATAAGAGCCAGAGGGAAGCTCTGTAGGGCCTGAAGTCTCCCACTAGGGCAGTACTATGATGGGCTGCCTGGTATTAGTGCAGACCTGCTTCTCTGGGGACATCAGAGCTACTTAATTTTTTAATGGGCCCATTCCTTATTTCTTGGACTATTGAGAATTCATTCCCTTTATCCAAGGAATGACAAGTTGAGTTATTCCAAACTGATTTCCTGTCCCCACCCATTCTGTAGCTGAAAAGGTCTTTCTCTAAGGTCATCTTCTGGGGGATCCCTTTTGGAAGGTTACTTAACTGCAGAAGGAGACACCTCAGCCCACCCTTCCTGAGCAGGCCCCCCTCTTGGGTGCTCCAAAGCCACAGGCCTGTCACTTGCCCACTCCATTCATGTGACCCTATCTCTGCACCTGCAGGCACTGCTCCTGCCACCCACTTCCTGTTCGAGACCATCCTGGAGGCCCTCCACTCCTTGCTGTCCCTCTCCCTTCCTGGGCCTTCTGCAGCTCAATATAGAAACTCGGAGCAGATGTTTTTGGTAAACCACTGGGCTGTGGCTAAGCTGTGGGGGATGGTGTGGTGACTGTACATGTGTGTGAGGCATCCCCTTCCCTCCAGGCTTTTTCTTGGGCCATTTGGGCTCTCTGAAAGAGCAAGCTATGAATTTATTTATAGTGGCAGTGACTGGGAGAGCCATGGCAATAAATAATGGTGGCTAAGGACTTTGGGAATATGTCATCCTCCAAATCAGATTTTTCTCCAGTTCCCTGTTAAGGTCAGAAGGCTCCATCTGCAGCACCAGTTATGAGGCCCTGAGCAGAGCTGAGAGCCACCCCGCCCCTGCCATTACAGAGGAGGAAACCAGGTGCAGAGAGGAACAAGGACCTGGCCCAAGCATTCTGACTCCAAGAGCCTTTCTGTGAACCCAGCTGGGTCTGTCTTCACAGTCTTCCTCCGGGAACTCTGTAAACCGTGTCACACCTTAGGGGCTATGTGACAGGCTGTGGATTCAGAGGGGGCTTCTGAGAGGCCCTTCTAGCTGCTGAGCTGCCAGGTGCTGATGGGCTGCTCAGTGCTCCAGAGGACAGGCAGGGCCTTCCACCCATGGTTAGTGAGGGAAGTGCTCTCTGGACCCGCTCCTGAGATGGGTGCCTGTTCTGGGGCCAAAACAGGATGACATCTCTGCTCTTGGGAGGCATCCCTACTGCTCAGAGCAGGCCAGTGAAACCCTTGTAAGATGATTGTGCTAGGAAAAATACGGGAAATTCGTTTGTTTACACAGAGCTGGGGATCAAACACAGGGCCTGTGTATGCTTAGGCAAGTGCTCTACCACTGAGCCACACGCCCAGCTCCCAAGTCCCATTTTTAAAAGCAAAATAGAGTAATCCTGTCTATACAATGTGCATAATGGTTGTATTTGTATACCTATGTGATGCGTATATGTGTGGTACCATGTGTGGATATGTATGTGCATTTGAAGGTGTTTAAAGGTATATTTTATGTGTGCACGTGTGATCAAATATGTGTTACGTGCACTGTGACTGGGCCTACTGTGAGAGCATGTGTGTATGCATGTGTGCATATATTAATGTGTTATTTGTGTACATATATGTACATTTATGCTACATATGTTTGAGTGTGTTTGTGAAGAACAACTCAGACTATGCATTGTATTGGACCTAGTTTTGTCTCCCACCATGGGAGAAAGAGGCAGTACCATGATAAGCCGTCTGTGCTGGCCAGTCCTCCCTCCTTTCACCATCTTTTTTCTTCCTGCCAGCACCTTCCTTTAGGGACTGCTATGAGTTTAGTGCTGCCTAAAGATGATCTGTCCTTTCAGGAGCAGAGCAGTGCATGCCCTTTGTAAAATAAACTAGCAAACCTAGAAGCGTGTGTGCACACACACACACAAACTCACACACAAATAAAAATTGTCCTTGGTTGCTAAACCAACAGTCCTGGCCAAAGCTTAATAAATTCTCCAAGCTGGGGCTGGGGATGTGGCTCAAGCCGTAGCGAGCTTGCCTAGCATGCGTGCGGCCCGGGTTCGATCCTTAGCACCACATACCAACAAAGATGTTGTGTCTGCCGAGAACTAAGAAAAAATAAATAAATGTTAAAATTCTCTCTCTCTCTCTCTGTCCCCCTCTCTCTCTCACTCTCTCTTTAAAAAAAAAAAAAAATTCTCCAAGCTATGGCCGTGACTTAGGGCCAGAGGAGAAGGAAACACAAACACCATCTTATCCCAAGCCTCTTGCTCTCTGGCCCCCATAGTCAAGTCTTTGGAACCCTAAAGGGTCCTGTGCCACCTTGTTATTGTCCTTGTTGAATTCTTCATGGTTAATAAGTTACCCCAGGTGGACAGGTAGGCCTGAGCTGTAGAGACGGTCACATGACCTGGGTGTAAGTGAGGTGTTCACTAACTTGAAAACTGCTTCACCTTGGTTGGTCTCTAACCCTCCCCAATCCTCAGTCTTCCTCTATCTACAATAGAATAAAAATAACAATTGAAGGACATTTTTCAGAGTTTAAAATTGTGCCTGTCCTTTTTCTACTTGCTCTCAGATCCTTGTTTCCCCCTTTCCACTTTCTGCTTCCTAGCAGAGAGAGATATTTCCAAAATTCTTTCCTCTTAGACTTCTGGATAGGTTTGGTCAAATGAATGGAAGGCTGGAGGGTGGGAGGCCAAGAGAAGTCAGGTGTCTCTCTCCATCGCTCTCTGCTTCAGGGGTGTCTCAGACATGGCTGCATCTTTGCTGTGGTAACAGCTCTGCTAGTGGCTCTAGAACCATGGGCTCTGGTAACCCGTCTTTTCTCCCTTTGTCCCTTCTTGTCCTGGGCCTGGTGAAGGTAGTGATGACTGCCTGCTGTTACTGAACTCTAGGTCACCTTAACATTCTCAGCATGACACCTCAGCAATTCAAACCTGCAAAACAAATTCCCTGTATTAAATTCCCTGGGTTGAAAGGCCTACTGTGGTTTTGATCTTGAGCTAGGGCCCTAGCTGACAGAAATGATCTGCGTGGCAGTATCTGGTGCATAGGGGATAATCATCGTGTGGTGCTGTGGTCCACAGCTGTGGCTCCTTATGAGCTTGTAAGGATTTCACCAGCCAACTCCTCTCTCCCTCGAGTGAAGAGATCATGAATCCTGCCTTCTTCCTTCTTTCTTTCTAAGCTCTATCTGGGTTCATTTTGCCTTTTTAGTTGCATGGCCCAGGAGTAAGGGAAAGGACCTGGAAGGAGGCAGCTCTGAGTTTGAATCTCAGATTCACCATCAGTAGCTGGGTGGTCTGGAGCCATCCACTCAACTCAGCTGCAGTTGGGCTGGGAATGTAGCTCAGGGGTAGGAGCACTTTCCTAACACGTGCAAGGTCCTGGGGTTCCATCCCCAGCACTGTAACACAAAAAGAAAATAACTCAGGTGCATAATCTAAAACCAGGGGATAATAAGGGCTAATTGGTAGAGATGGTGTATACATAGTACATGATGGAAAGATTAAACTTTTGCCTTTGTTGACTATTATGATTAATATCACCACCACAGCCCCTTCTTCTAAGGACTCTGGTTCTTTTTACTTGACTTTGGGTCAGTGGATATAAAAATGGCTCACCCTTGTTTCTTCCCAGTATCTCTTGATATGAAGAGCTCAAAGGTTGATAGGAAAGGTGGGCAAATTTGCAAAGGGGCTAAAATTAGCAACTCAGAATTTTTCCTTTCCATGGTGGCCTGAAAGCATCCAAGGATTGAGATCATCACTCAAAAGATGGGGACCTGGCCATAATGGAGAGTCAAGCCTGGCAGGGTCTCAGAAGTGCAGAGCCACAGGCTAGGGAGCCCCAGGGGAGGGGCCCAGTTTGGCACACATGCAACTGAGAGCAGTTTTTGGGCCAGTTATCTGTTTCTTCCTCAGAAGACATTTAGAAGTAGCTCTTGGAATTCACCCTGCCCCTTCCCTCTTCCTATATGCTTGCTTCCATCTGTCATGTCTTTCCATTTCTTATCCACCCAGAAAACTTCTGCACATCCTTCAAAACACAGTCCAGTATCACCTCTGGGGACCTTTAGTGGCATCCCCAGACATTATTGATTATACCATTCCCTGTACTTTCAAGCTCATAAGTGCTTCTGTTGTGGCAATAGCACACCCTCCTCTGTGTACTCCTAATAGCTTATATATCCTATCCTTCTATCTTGGCACCTGTCACATTCCTACAATAATAGCAATAGACACAATGATAGCTGGCAACTTCAATAGCAATTGCCGTAATGAGGAGACAGGTGTTCAAACCCATCATAACCTTGCTCTGGAGTATATGCTTTTAACCTTCCTCATTTTGCATGTGAACCTCTAGAGGAGAGACCTGATTATACCTTTTTTTTTTTTTTTATGTGTGTGTCCCTAAGAACTGGCAGGGTGCCTGACACCAAGTGGTTCCTTAAAAGCTAGATGAAATAAAAGAACATTCCATAACACTGATGTACCAAGGTTTGTCAAACCATTTCCTTTATATTGCTGTGAATATTTCCTGGCATCTCTCTTTTTGGGGGCTGGATTATTTTCTTTGGGTCAGTTCCTGGGAGTGGACTGATTGGGTCCGAGGATGTGGCACTTCCTTACCCTGCCACGTCATCTTCCGCCTTCCAGAGCCACCAGCAGCAAAGAAGCGAACCGTTCCTGGCAACCTTGCAAACCCTGTTCTCACCTTGACCTTGACGTGGCTGTAATGCGAGGTGCCGCGAAGGCCCTGGGGCTGGCGGCTTCTCTGAGTCCTTTGGATCCAGCACGGGGTTATCCGCGGCCAGCGAGCTGCACACGCCTGCCCCAGCGCCGCGCAGCCCTGCAGCCCTGCGGCTCTCGCCGCGCGCCCCCTCCCTCCTCCAGCTGCCTTGCTGGCAGCTGGATTCAGCCTGGGGGCGGGGACCAGATCCTGCAACCTCGCCTGACCACTCCACTGCCTCGGCTTCCTTATTTGGAGGGACAGGAGGTGGGGAAAGAAAAGGGTGGGTAGAGATGGCACAGGGAGAAAAATGTGGGGCAGAGGGAGGTGAGGAGGTGGGGGAAATGGTGTCCCTGAGTAGGGGGTGGGCAGGTTAAACGTCAAGGCCCCCTTTGCATCGCTCCAGGGCTGGAACGCTACAGCTCCCCCGATTTCTGCAGACTATCCCCCAAATCGTTAGCTCACCCAAGCGATGCACCAGGGCTGGAGCTTCTCTCAGACCCCACAGTTCTGCCCTCAGGGTCCCTTCCTGTGGCTCGATTGCACAGGACAGCAGGCAGAGGGTTGCAGTCACCCCTCATTTCCCCCCCGCATGGACCCCTCCTTTCCTCTGACTCCTCCGCTTTTCATTGGCCTTTTCCTGGTCTCCTCTGGACATTTCCACTTGAACTACAAATACAAAACTGCCAGAGACCCCTACCTGGGCCAGGGACACCCAGGTAAGACTAGAGACACAGGGAAGCACAGAGTCACCCAGTTTAATTCAAAGACATCTATTAAGGGTGTTCTAAGGAGTGAAGAGCAATTTTAATCTGTTATGTTTTAGTGTTCTCAGATAAAATTCAGAATGCCCAGTTCAATTTGAATTTCAAACAGGCAGCGGGTAATATTTTATCCCATGCTTGATTTAATATAAGTTATAACAGCAATATTGCATAGGGCACAATAAAACTTATTCATTATTTGTCTGAAATTCAAATTGAATTAGGCATCCTGTATCTTTATTTGCTAAATCTGGCAAAGTTAATGTATTTCCTTTCTTTTCTTGAATTTTAAGCCCTTGGAATCCCCCCACCCCAGCAATATCCCCCCCAATTCTCTAGCCACTTTCCTTCTTTCACCTTTTTGGTGGAAATTTTGCTCCTCAGAGAAATATTCTCTTTTTAATTTTCCTCCTCCCCTGGGTTTTATTTACTTTAGCTAAGTCACTCTGGGTCTCAATTTCAAAGTCTTTGATGTTATTACTAGAGACTGGGATTGAGGCTGTGTGAGCTTTTAGGAAGGTTTCTTCAGGACATTGGAAGGAAATTAAACCTCGGAAAATATGCTTGACATTTTTTTTTCTTTCTTTCTAAAAAGAAAGTCTGTGGGTCGAGCTCCGTTATGGTCACGGGAGCACGAACAGCGGAGTTAAGGCCAAAGAGCTCATTTCTCAAGCCGCCACCAGCTGTAGCCCAGCCAATGGGTGATTTATCTCCAGCTGCAGGGCCACGTTCTCAGGGTTTCCATCCTCAGCTGAACTTGCAGAAGGATCTGAGAAATCAAATAGACTGGGGCTTCCTATACGATAATAAACACACAAATCACTAGGGGAGCTCTCTCTTTTTTTCTCAGTACTGAGGATTGAACCCAGTTTATTTTATTTTAACTTGAGATGGGATCTAAGTTTCTGAGGCTGGTCTCAAATTTGTGATCCTCCTGCTTCAGCCTCCTGATAGCTGGGATTACAAGAAAGCACCTCTGCACCTGGCACTTGAAGTTCCCTGCTCAGGCTGACCTAATACCATAACTCAGACTCTCTGGAGTTGGGACCCAGGACACAATTAAAGAAACAAACAAACAAAACTCCCCTGATAATTCTAGTTTGAAACCCAGTGAACTATCCTGGTTGGAGGACAGTTGGGACCACTCTTGAGTTGTGTGATTCTCTTGTGTTGGTCATCTCTTGTTGATTGGATTTTTAATGTGCCCCCCAAAGTTCATGTGTTAGGTAATGCAGCAGTGCTCAGAGGTGAGATGATTGGATTATGAAGCCTCATTAGTGGATCGATCCATCTGATGGATTAATGATGTGAATGAATTACTGAGTGTTAACTGTAGGGAGGTGGAATGTGACTGAAGGAATTAGGTCACTGGGGGGCATGCTCTTGGACTGTATCTTGTCCCTGGCTCCTCTTTCTTGATCTCTGCCTCCCGGATGCTGTAAGCTGAGCAACTTGCCTCTGCCACACCCTTCTGCCATGATGTTCTACCTCATCTCAGCCCAGAGCAATAGAGTTGCTCAACCACGGACTAAACCTCTAAAACTGTGAGCCCAAAATAAACTTTTCTTCCTCCAACTCATTCTTGTATTTGGCCACACACAGCTGATTAACATCATCTCTACCCTCGGGTGCCCAGTTTCCCATAGAATTGACCAACTTCATAAATTACCCATTAGTGGCTTCCTTCTCTTCCTTGTTCCTCTCTCCCGCCTTTCTGTGATGCTTCCTGAGATCACCTCCCAAGTCATCTACTTGTCCTTGAATCTGTCTGTCTGGGTCTGCTTTGGGCGATCTTAGTTTCATGGATTACTTTTGTCCACAGATGGCTTTCTGATTTAAATCACGAATTCTCTTAAAAGGTTGCTTGGAGTAGTGGAAAACCCTAGTGTTGGGAGCTCTGTGGCTCAGACAGTCTGAGTTATTGTGGATATAGGCATTGTAGAATCATGGGTTATGGCTTGATGGGGCTAGAATTTACTGAGACAGGCCCCTGGGGCTAGGGTAATGTCAGACATTTATACTTCATTTGCAAAAAGAGTGCTCGCCTAGCATGCACGAGGCACTGGGTTTGATCCCCAGCATCACATAAATGTAAAATAAAGATATTGTGTCCACTTAAAACTAAAAAATAAATGTTTAAAAAAATGTAACTGGGTAGTTCCAAGCCTAGTTTCTTCACCTCTACACTGGGGCTAATAATGCTGCCTGTTAATGTTGTTGAATAAAATAGCAGCTATTGAAGATAGAATTATTAACCTCATTTTCACTTCCCCACAGCAGCATTAATATTATATATCCATGCCATTCCCATACTGCTTGCTTGTAGTCTTAGCTGTGTGACTTGTCATGACCAATAGGATGTTGGCAAGCTTGATGAAAGTAAAGGCTTGAGTGGGATTGTGCTATTAGGTTTGCTCTTGCATTCATGTTTTCCTTGATAGAGCATTTATTAAGTAGCTGCTGCCTCCAGAAGTATGGGGGACATACTAAACAGATTTGGACTTATCTTGTGGCCTGGAGTCAGGTCCATTGGAGCCCAAATTAGATCAGCCAAACTCCATTTAAACTGAAGATGTTGTTATATGTTTCTAAGTTTTGTTACACAGCTTTATTGTAAGATAGCTAACAGATACAATATTTATGAAAACATTCAACACAAGGCTTAACACATTCTAGAAGTCCAGCACATGCCGGTGCCTCTCTGTCCCATGGTATACATGAATGTGGAAAATGATTTCCTTGATTATTGTCCCTCAAATCAGATTTGTGGATCAAGATCTTGCAGCAAGACATCCCTTGTTGGGATGGAAGTTCCAGTTGAGAATAGGGTCCTGCCCTTGTACTTATTCCTTCTTCAAGTGACTCTAGTACATCCCTGATCAGAGGTAAAGACCTTTGTTATCACAAACTCCTTTCCTATAACAACTCCTTTCCAAGCTCCTCTTTCAAAACAAGCTCAAGTTCATCTCTTCCTGATCTCTTCCTGAGCATTCCTAGACCCCCCGCCACCAACCACAAAGACTTCCCTCATTTTCTATCACTCACTTAGCTCATGGCATTTGTATTATTTCACTTTATGCCCACCCTCAGCAGTGATAACTCTAATATAGCCGTGGACATTTTAAAATACCAATTACATATCAGGCATGATGCTAAGAGCTTGACATACATATTTGTTTGAAAGTCAATATAACTGTGGAAGTTACCATTAATACTTCATTTGCAAATTGTCTAATGCTTTTGAGTTTTACATGAGTCAGTGTTTCAAAAACCTGATTAATTATAAAAAATATTTTAAAAAACAGTCAATGCACCCTTATGGTGTAGGTAAAAGGATATTCCAATTTTATGCATAAAAAATGTTTTGTCTCAGAGAGATTTGTTCACAATTTATAAGTGGCAGAGGAGCTACGTAGACCCAGGTCCATCTGATCCCAGACCCATATCTTTACTCCCATCCTATGTAGCCATTTTGGTCTTTCTAATTAGATTGTAATATCTTCAGGTGCAGATAAGATATTGGATGTATGTAGCAGGTACATTACACACTGGCATATGACCATTATTTGTCAGCTGGCTGACCTAAGCTCACGGATTAAGCAAAGGATGCTCATGTAAGGTGCAGGGTTGGCTTCCTTGTAGAAGCATCCAACAGCCTGGGCACCCTCTGTGTTTCCCACTCTTAGCATCCATCAGCCCTACTCAGTCAATGCCTGCCTTCTCTGTGCTTCTGCTCAGTCTTGGGAGATCCATACATTCTCCCAAACCACACCATATCTCTGTGAGTCCTGGCAGGTGCCAGGATGCTTTTGATTGTAAGCAACAGGAACCTGATTTGGGCTGTGGTGTCCTTTCCCTTCGATTCTCTCCTTCTGTCTTCTTCTGTAGATCCACTTTGTTTTTAGGTGGCTTCCCCCAGATTTTAAGCTTGTGCATCCTCCATATTGTGTTTCCAGTTTCAGGATATTGGATCATCTTTGGACCACTCCCTGTGGCACTCCGTGGGAATTCCACTTACTAAATGATTTTGGTCTGGGTTATTGTTACCACCCACTAAGGTAGTGGGGTTAGGATTTATTGAGACTGACATATCAGTCAGGACCCTGGGGCTAGGGTAATGTCAGACATACAACATTTTGGTGTCTGCAAAGTAGTAGGGGATGGGTAGAAGGACATTTGGGAGCAACCCCAAGTCTAGATGGGGGATGGTGTGCAGAGGAAGAGGTAGGGTGGGAGAGCAGATAGACTGTAGGAGGAGCCCAGGCATCCCAAGCTGATTCTCCAACGATATTATCTGACAGCTGTGTTCTCTGAGGCTCTATCAGCCCCTGGCAGAACTGTTCTTTCTCTCCTGGAGGGACGTTGTCCTCTGGTCTTGCCTGGGTCTCAGTATGTGTGTGGGTTCCAGAGTAGATCATGGAACAAAGACTCTTATCCCTGTGGTTTATTAAGGAAGTACTCCTAGGGGAAACTGGAAAGGGGCAAAGTAAGCAGGTCAGGGTAGCTAGGAACCTATGCTAAGGGTGATCTCAGGTGAAGTCCCACAGAGGGACAGATCCCATAGGGAGAGATCTGGGGTTTGAGAGACACCTCAAGAGTTATCCTGACTCTAGGCAAGGAAGCTGAACCTTTTAGACTCTGTACCTATGAGTCATTGACCAAAGATTTTAGGCTAGGGAGGAGAATATTAATTTCTGGACACCTTGGGCTCACTTGTCCCCCTAGCAAAGTGACTCCAGTAGTCCAAGGCAAGCTCTCCAAAGAAGAACCTCAGGTGCACAATGCAGGAAGCAAAAGCACGTCAGAGCTGGGAGGG